AGACAATCTGATCGATTTCTCTTACGTTGTGTGCCGAGACTGAAACTTTTCACCTCAAGCAAATCTCTGTCGCACAGTCCAAACAAACATAGCGAGCAACTGGGCTACAAGTATATGTCCGTGTTAAAACACACGAAAGGACTCTAAAGCACACTTCACTCTGATTGGGCAGAAAAACAAAGATTTTCTGGCACCAATCAGATGGCAGAACGACTGCGACGGTTTGGAACTAGTCTTGGAAGACAATGTCCCCAGGGGCTCTTCATGCCCTAACTTGAAATCCACTCAGCCCCTGGGACTCCGAGGATGCCACGACCCACGACCATTAGTCAAACTCACTAGAAGGGCGTCATTCCATAAGTTCACAATAGATGATCATCTGTGATAAAATGGCGTCCGTGAGGCCGACTTTCAAAATTTTCAAGTCGGATTTTTCGTTCTTTATGCGATCGAGTTAGACCTCGTGGAACTCACAATATAAAGTAGCAATGTTGTAGAATTCTCTACTTGGAAAATAATGGATATCAAGGCTTTAAAGGTGACAGAATAAGCTTTCGAGTCAACGACACTACGATTCTCTAAAGCGAAGGGAAGTGGCTCTAAAGTGAAAACCGAACTTTCGGCCTTCAAGCTGTGCCCAGCGACAATTTGACGATTCCATGGACCGGTAAATATTATGTTTGAGTCACAGTATGTTCAAAGGGTGTTGTTTAGTAGAAGATTTTGTGTCAAGTCGTAGTACTTTAAGAATTTTCAACTTAACGCCACGCAATATTCTGGCCGTGAATTTAATTAATCAACGATCTAAGCATGATGAATTTTACCGCGTGGGCTTTGTACACGTAAGAAATTCGTACGTTTTTCGCTTACAATAGCAAATCAAGAACTGTTTCGAATGAAACTGTCGTCCTCAAATATTTCTTGGCCATTTTCGTGCCGCTTCCCATCGATCGATTCCATGAAACTTAACATCTCTTCACACTGATAAATTTGCATATTCACTTTGAAATACGATCGGCAGTTCGCACGCGGAAATATTTAGCGATTTTATCTTTTATCTTGATTTTTGAGTGAAAACTTAATATCGCTTTTCGGTCGGAAAGAAGGTCTTTAATTAGTCTTCTTTCACTAGAGCTTGTTTTTGGGCGAAGATTTCGAAAAATTTACCGCGCATTGTTTGCTTTTCTGGTTTCTTCAGAGTTTTGACATTGCGTGGGCACGTGTTACACGTAGACCTGTGTGGATGAATTAAAATATGGTTAAAAGTGACCCGGAGATAAACTCTCTATCGGGGTCGTTTCAAATGATTTTAAAGAATTATAACTACAGTGCAGACCACAGACCATTTGAAACTGAAAATGATACATGCATATTCAAACAGCGAGAAGACGATATTGCTTGACCGTCACGGCTCGTGCCCAATAGTTTAAAATTTTGCATTCATTATTTTTTTTTTTGCATCTTTCACAGTTTGTGGCTTTATGAGTGTTATGCAGTCACTGCTTAGGTCAACCCCATTTCTATAAATTTTGTTATCAAATATATTAAATTGTACAACTACAAATATATTATAAACTATCTTTATTATACAAAAACATTTACAATTATGATTTTCTCCCAGTATACATGTAAGTTTGGTAAGGTCTTAAGCCCTTTTACTCCCACGAGTGACCAAGAGAGAAGTTCCTCTTACAATATCAACAGGGCCAGACACCAATGGTAGCCCACTAGCCAGAGACTAGTAGAAATTCAGTTTTGGCCACTGGTTTTCAATTTCCACTAGTCAGTTTGGCTAGTAAAGAGACTGAAATCGTCATAACATCTAAACACATCCAAGATGTCACTAGCCACTTGGCTAGTAAGTTGAAAAGTTAGTGTCGAGTCCTGTATCAAGCAGACAAGTGATGAGAATGAAGAAAAATATCAATTAGGGGATTATTAGTTGATCAGATACCAAAATCTCTACACAAACATCATAAGAATTGTATGACACAGTAAGGAGAATTACTAATAAGAACTGGCAGGGAAAGGGTCAAAGAGGATATTGCTGGGGTACCATATCAATTAAGCATCATTGAGGGTGGTAAAGGGAATTTTCATGATTCGTGAATGGCCTTTATCCCTGTCAAACAAGAAATGGTTTGTTTTTTTCTTGTGAATCGTGATTTCATCAGTAGCCATGAACTGTGATTTTCCAAAATTATTTTCTGTGAAATGAGTAAGAAGTATTTAATTTGTCATCAACCGTGATTTTGGTAATTAACAATGACTGTGAATTTTGAAAGAACCAAGTTATTTTCCATGTAATGCGATCTTGACCCTCCCTTATTACCCTCATCATTGGAATTATAGTTTTCCTTCTGAAGACTGGTAAGAATACTTTGTAAATCATTCCAGTATTATTCAAGCCCTTTGCCCCTCAATTGTGACCATTTCAAACTTCAATTTAGGGGGAGGGTGTTTTCATGAGTACAACAAGATGATTGATGTTTATGAAGCGTAAATAAGAACAAAATGGTCAACATTTGTTTTTCATTTCTTTGCAGGTGACTGTTGTCAGGAGCCCAGTATTTACATGTTTTGATACATTGAGTTGAGGGGCATGTATCACAAACAGTGCTGACAATAATACTAAAAGGCATGCATGTTAAGGATCCGTCCTTCAGAAGAGTGGGATGTACATGGTCTGGCATACGTGGCTGCAATACACCAAAGCTGAATGCACTACTCTTGAAAACAGCCAATGCACTGAGATCACCTTGGCAAACTGGGTGAAGACTTCCAAGAGGTGCAGACTTTTAAGGTTCTGCTGATGATCCCATGTAAAACCCTTTTTTTACAACTTCTTCAGGGGTAAGTCTCCTTTTTCCTTCTGCATCTGGTAATGATAATAATAATATACTAATGATCATATTTAGCACTCATTTTCAGGGTTCAATGTGCAGCCTTGCAATGTTTATACTTAAGATTACATGAAATACCTCATCTTGATAAAAAATTAAAATAAAAAATTGATTAATCTGATTTTCAGTTACCAACATTGGCTGTTAAGAAATGAAACGTAAATGTTGATGGATTTGGTTGCAGCATTAGCTGGTTTGGCTGAGCATAGATTGTTGTCTTGCAAAGGTTTTCATCCACGATCACCCTTGTGGGCACAGTCTGTCTTTTAAGGTGATTTACGTGCCTACAACTGTGTGGTTTTGACTTCACTATCTTTATACTCTTAATGCATAAAGTGTGGCCAGGTATATTTTCATTGAGTGCCTTCTTCCACAAGACCCTTAATTAATCTTCTTTGAAAAGGAACATTTTCCCCCTCTGCAGGTTGTTGCTTTTTCTTTGGGGTATGAGGTGACAACTGTGGGTTTCCACATGGTTCCTGACCTCTAGCCAAATTAGCTCTAGAGGGGTTTGTAAGACAGTAGTTGAGCACCAACTCCGATGTTGTAACTCCTATTGTTGTTTGGGGTGTTGAAATGTATGTTAACAAGAATCTCCTACATGTACATGCAAGTCTGGTGTGCATAATTGTTTCTCCATATTCTTCATCTCTTCTTTGCAAATATACAGACTGGCCTCTCCACCAAGTCATCAGATCAGAGATCTTTATGGGCTGTTTTCTCCCTTAGAATTATCTTCTTGGTCATAATGTCAGCAAATTACTCACTGGCAAATCCGGCAACCTTACCTAAGATGACCTTTTCAGGTCTCAATGAATGAATTAATGAATAACTTTTTCTTATTGTTTTGTGTAAGTAAAAAACTAGCCAAAGAAAAAAAATCCTTCTATTGATAGGAGACACTAAAGAAGATACATATATATCCATGTATATATATATATAAAGAAAAATATATTATTAAGGGATAAAATATAATTATATATACACAAAACAAAAATACTTAAAAATTTAATTACGATGAAGTGGTGTACTATATAGATAATGACTGAAATCAATTGCAAAGATAGCAGTTACATCTTTAATTTTTAAGAATCAACTCAAGTCGTTTTTATAAATTATTAACTGAAATGTCTCAAACGACAGTTTCCTTCTTCAGCTGGTGGATGGCTCTAGAGCCTTGGCCTAAATTAACATATGGAGTCCTTCCTCTTAGTCACTGTGGAAAGTTCATGAGTGGCGAATATTTTGAGGAGATATTCCTCAGTAGCTATGTGCCGATGCTGCCCCCATATGGTTTAACATGGTCTTTATATTTTTAAGACCAAGGCTTTTCTGGCTGTGTTTTTCGATGGAGGAGGGGTGCAGCTGCTGGTGCTGCACTCAATGGCCGAATTAACTTTTTCCTCAATATGTGTAGCCAACCCAGACCACCATGAGAGGTAGCACGTGACATTTGCCAAATCAACGTGATAACATCGCATAAGGTCAGGCAATAACTATATCACAATTCCTTGCCTATTACTAATAAACTTAATAGGGCATGGCCAAGTTACACCCACTGATACAATCAAATTAACAGTTTACAAAAGCATTCCACTAACCTGTACTCTTCAAAGCAACCAGAGCTTAATAAGACAAGTAATAAATGAATCTACAAAACAAATTATTTTCATTGAGCATGTAGCCATTGACATAGCCAATGCAGCTAGTACACCTTGTCTGCTTGCCAGGTCACCTTTCTAGGCAAGCTAGAACAGACTTACCAAAATCATCAACATGACTTGATGGCCTCTGCATTTGCAGGGTTTTAGCTTAAAATGGGAAAACTAACAGTCCAGAGGATTTCTACAATGTACTGTGTAACTGGAAATTAAAATATTAGGATAGATACCATTTAAACTCAACACTTGCTAAGATTTGAAGGCCAGCACTCAAAACATTTGGATGTGCTGGACCGCCTCCTCCAGAATGTCAATGAGCAATTCATGATATTAAATTAAAAATAAAATTTATTTATACTAGAAAATCTATCAGTGTATTAAAAAACACTGGTCCTATGGAGAACACTGTGATAATACAACTGCTAACAAAATAAGGCTGCAAAGGCGGTTTCATTTCCAAAATCAATTCTGAAAACTCCTTTACAGACACCTGACTGTGCAGGAATAACCTTTCAGCAAGGTCCTTTAATTTAAAATGGAAGCCTATGGACGGTCTCAGGTGAACCTGGCCAGAACTGACAAGGTACCAAAGTAACCGCATGGCTTTCACAGTCACAGGTGGTGACTTCCTTCAGGTACTGGTGACCTATATGTAGAAACAAGATGCAAAGGATGTACACACACAAACACTTTGAAGATAAAATTGTAAATCATTGAAGATAGTGCAGCACCAACACTGGGAAAAACATTTGTCTTCAAAACCTCTGACAATTGCAAACGTTTTGAAACCTTGTTTACGGTTGCTTTCGAAAGTCAACATTGTGCAAGCTTTGACTTTGTGTCCAACTTACCAAAGGCATCTATTAGTTTGAACCATTTGAGGATTCTTGTAGAACAAGAATGACCGGATTGAATTGCACCATGATTAGGGAAGAATTAAATGAATCTGTTATCCTTTAAAGAAACTGAAACAGGACAGTCAGTTTATACATTTGTCCCTGTTTTCTAAATACATGTAATACTGTGTATGTGTCATTAATGCAAAACTTTGCTAATAGAGATTAAAAAACAGCGCGTTGACATATTTCTCTGGGAGAGTTTCTCCCCCCACTGCTGTTGGGAACATTTATCCCGTATTTTTTCCCAGTTAGCTACGGAGCTGTAGTTTCTTCGATGAGCTTCAGAATGTTAAGCCTCATCAAGTGAAAATATGGGAATGTCGGGGTCATCGACAGCTTTAAGGAGAGAAGAGCTTCTTAGTTTGGCTGAGAACCAGCTGTGTTTGAGCTGACCATTAACGGAGTATGAATAATGGTCTTGCCGAGGACAATCGTTTTCACAGAAACAGGTTTGAACTTCTTTTATAAATCACGAAATTAAACAATGGGGTAAAATGACGATCAAAGCAAATGGCGAGACTCTGTGCAGTGGTACCGCATTCGATGGCTCAGACAATCATTTCACTCGAGTACTACCCATATTCTCAATTAAGAAATATTGGATATTACCCTATGAGGAAATGTGACACGCGTGTTCTCACTTCTTTCTCTTGCAGTTGGCGTGGTATTGTACCAGTTGCTGCTCTATTTCTTCCTGATTTTAATTTTTCCCCTGGAATATTCTGTCTGATTAACTTATTGGGAAAGCTTATCTAAAGAAGCTTAATACTTGAAATTAAGAAAATAAAGAAAAACTGAGAAATGAATAAGTATTGTACAGTAAGTTATTAATATTAGAGTGGTAGAAAGCCGCACAGTTCGAGTCGTAAAATGTTTCTGGTGTACTCTGCTGATTTTGCATTGATTTACAGGTATGGTGGATTTTCTGCCTCTTGTTCTTTGTGGTTGCCTTCAAACATGTTGCACCTATTGTTTGTCTCAAACGGTCTTCTGATCGTTACAATGACTCTTGGGTAAAATGGTTCTGACTAACGTCAAGACAATTTTAGCAAAAATCATTACCATCGGCTATTTGATGTTCTTTCTTCCTTGAGCAGTTTGGCCTTTCTCACTTCTTTCTCTTGCAGTTGGCTCAGTATTGTACCAGTTGCTCTATTTCTTGCAGATTTTAATTTTCTCCTTGGAATGTTCTGTCCAATTAAGTTATCTGGAAAGCTTATCTAAAGAAGCTTATCTAAAGAAGCTTAATACTTGAAATTAAGAAAATAAAGAACAAATGAGAAATGGATAAGTAGTGTACAGTAAGTTATTTATATTAGAGCGGTAGAAACAGTACAATTTGAGTCATAAAATGTTTCTGGTTTACACTGCTGATTTTGCATTGGTTTTCATGTATGGTGGATTTTTCACCTCTTAATTTCTGTGGTTGCCCTCAAACATGTCCCAGCTATTGTTTGTCTCTAAACTGTCTTCTGATCGTCTCAATGACTCTTGGGTAGGACTGTTGTCAATGGTACTCACTAATGTGTAGACAACTTGAGCGGAAATCATTATCATTAGCTTTCTTTTTGATATTCTTTCCTCCTTGAGCAGTTTGGCCTTTCTCACTTCTTTCTCCTGCAGTTGGCTTGGTATTCTTACCAGTTGCTGCTTTATTTCTTTCAGATTTTCATTTTTGGGATATTCAATCCGATTAGCTTGTCTGGAAATTAGTATTCTTGTCTGCTGTTAGGGAAGTCCACTGACAACTTCGGGTGAGGTGGCTGGAAAATTTACTGAGTTCACTTACAAGTGTGGTAAGTTTGCCAGCTACCTAGTCGAATTTGCCAGCAAGTTGCATGTAATTGCTTTGACAGAATGAGACTGAGAGGAAGCCTCTGTGAAGGCAAATGGTCGTAAATTTCTCTTAACCCTTTCCAGTCCAAGGGTGACCATGTGTAATACTACCCCATCTGCCCAAGGCAAGGGAGCCAAAATCAAAACAAAGTAACACAACTTCAAATTTTAATCAATATATCAGAAACTACTCATTTATTTGAGAAACAATAGAAAGAAACTTTGTTCCTAAGATAATAAACTTTTTATTGCTGCCAAAAATGTTTTCTTTCATGCATGCATTCAGTAAATATTCAGACCTCAAGTTGAGTGAATAGAAATCTCAACAAAAACCATCCATGTTGTTCATGAGCTCATTTATGTCTCACATAAAATTATTACATTTCAGGACAAACTATATCTAACTAACCTATTAAATGAAGAAAATAAGTGATAAAGAATTATTAGTGTTACTTTGGACCGATTCGGTGATCAATTCTTCAAAAAATTAATACAAAAAATCAAGCTCGAGATTTCAAATTTAGCGCCAATGTTCAAGCAAGATCCTCTACGGTATGGTTCTTAAAACAGTCTAAACAAATGCGTTTACCGCAGAGTTCAGAAGCCATTCTGCACCACGTCTCCCTTTTTTGCTTTAAACAGCGCTTACAGCGACCTTTGGAGAACTTTATGGGCCAATGCCCTCCTTCTAGGCGCCCAGAACTTGCGGACAATCGCCGTGCTGAAAAATTTCCGATCAGCGACTTCATGAGATCTAAACGAAAAGCCAGTTAGGTTCTTGAGCGGTGATGCGGGGACAGTTTCTCCAAAATGTATGCATTCACAATCGCAACATCCACAAAGAACCACATAAGACAACGCCACCACTTTTTCGATTTCCTTCCAGCCATGTAATAGCCCCGCATTTGATCGTTCAGGTCTACAACGCCCATGTTTTTGTTGTAGGTCTTCACGACTGGGGCGCTGGGAACTTGAATCACCGTTCCATCGCGTTGCCTTCTACAGACAGTGTCGTTCCCCACCGGATCGGATTGGGAGCTCAAAAAATAAACTGCCTTCTTATCCTTCCATACAGTTACGACAATGTTCTCTTTGCGAAGGAACAATGACTCTCCTTGGCGAAGTCGTTTGACTCTTTCAGTCGAAGGGGCAATTTGTCGCGGGATGCCTTGTCGATTTCCACGAACGGTTCTGCAGATATAAATTTTATCTTTAAGCAAATCTTCCGCGAGAGCGAGGGAATTGAAAAAATTATCGACAAAAACATGGTGATATTTGCCTACCAAGGGTCGAGTAAGATTGCGGACAACACGGTGTCCGAGTCCTTGTTCAGGATTACCATCACGTTGTTTACCTGTGTAAAACAAACGCAGATCCGTTCGACGAATCTGCGCATTCCCACACTTTAATTCCCCTCTTCACCGGTTTTAACGGCATATATTGTTTTAGGGAAAGTCTTCCTTTAAAAGGAATCATTGCCTCGTCGATCGAAACATTTTTCGACGGCCTGTACTCGCTTTTAACGGCCTCTACAATAGAATCGAGAAGAGGTCGCACTTTGAATAACTTGTCGTGATTTGCGTGCCCTCGTGGCAATTCTTTTCTCTTATCGTTTAGGTGAAGATATTGGGATATCTTCGCAAAACGATTCCTCGGAAAAATCTTTTGCACTTCTGGGACTCTGAGAAGCTGATTTTTCGACCAGTAGGAATAAACTTCGGGCAGTTGTTTAATCCCAAACAGGATGTTTAATGCGAAGAATGCCTTCACTTCTTCGGCGACGGTTTCACGCCAAGCAGGGTCTGGATTTGCTTCCATTGCTTGCCGCGCATAACGATTTGTTTCTTCTGCAATTCTGTCAAAATTGCTGTCCTTAAACATTAAGTTAAAAATGTTAAGGGTCGAATAACCTCGAACGTCCCTAACCAGGCCGGTATTTGCGACCAACGGATTCACAACAACTGGACCAGGGTCCTCGTTCCACTCTTCTTCGTATTCATCGCCACTTTCCTGATCGCTAATATCAAGATCTGACAAATCCTCTGTGTCAACTGACAAAACAGAAATGTCAGATTCTGACTCACGATTATCTCGCTCGAATCCCGGTTCGATAGTGAAGCCAATGAACTCTTCTTCCTCGCTATCTGAATCGAAGAGCGCCGCCATTTTAAAACTATGCGAACAAATTTCAACTCGCAATTTCTCAATAAATTCATATGAACACCACCCCTGAAAGTTGGCTTGAACTGAGCTTCTACTCTAACCCTATTGGTTAAAACACAATAGGCCAGAAGAAACCAAGACAATTTTAGCAGAAATCATTACCATCGGCTATTTGATGTTCTTTCTTCCTTGANAAAATCTTCTCAATTATTTTAAGACCCTGAGTGGTGGTCCGGCCGGGGCTCCAACCCTCCACCTCCCGCACAACAGTCCAGCGCTCTATCCATTGAGCTAACCGGGAGGCAGTTAGAAGTGGTGAAAAACTCGACGATATGACTCAGGATGAATTTAAATACTGGATAACAAAAAAAAAACTCAGTGGCTCTTTGAAGTTTTTTTAATGAACGTTCGCTATAGGATCCTTTTAGGAGGAAACCGGTCGTTTCGCCGACATATCAGTTCGTCAGCGTCAGTTCATCAACTTATGAGCTCAATTCGTCAACGTCTAATGTCAGTTGGCCAACGTCCAAAATAATTGTAATTACAAGCGAATGATAAACAACGCTTCTTCACGCGTAATCAAACAGATATATTGGGAGTATAATGAACAATTATTCCACGAGCGCGCGTTGGCTATAATCATCTCATATCCAACAAGCGCGAGTGGAATAATTGTTTTATTAAAAACGACCTTCTCACAAAATAATAATTTCTTAAGGTCGTTTTTAATAAAACAATTATTCCACTCGCGCTTGTTGGATATGAGATGATTATAGCCAACTGGGTGCTACGCGCCTCGTTGGCTATCTATCATCTCATATCCAATGCGCGCTCGTGGAATAATTGTTAAATATATTTCATTTAATTTGCTCAGAACTCAGCCTCTATTTCTTTCCCAAAATGTTTTGTTCTTTACTTACACCCTCGACTCTCAGGAGGCTTTTGACATTGCTGATCGTAGCAGCATGCGGGATGCATGTCATATATGAACCTAATGATGGCCAAGCTGGTTCACCTTAGAGCCTTTGTGGCTCAATGCTAGAGCATCAGAACGTGGAATTAGAAGGTCTGAGTGCTCGAGTCCTCATTGTGACTTGGAATGTTCACTTTTTTCAAGCTCATAATTTGATGAAAAAACTTCTTTCTTCAGTTACAGTAATATTTGAGGTCATGTATTCCTTTAGTGTTCTGTTAAACGAAAAAAAATTTTTAGGAAGATGCTCTGCTATGAGACGGCCAAAAGTTCATACTGATCCAATGAGAACCTGTTTTAAAAAGTTGTTCTAGATCATAATTTTTAGCTTTGCCTCTGGATCTTGCTGGAGACATCTCATGAGACCCCAAAATATGTGATCCGTCCACATGGCAATTTTTAGTTATGCTAGCCAGGATTTGGCAGTTGACGAATACCCATCTCGCTAAGGAGGACACCAAAACTGTACACATCAACCTTAACGAGAAGATACAACTGACCTAAAATTTATGGTGTTCTGAGTATCTATGATTGTTTTAAGAAATGCACAAAACCAAAATAGAAGCACAAAATCTACATTGGACAAACCTTTACAGGTAGTTTATTTGTGGTAGTCTAAAGCCTTTGCCACATCAAAGGAGATCGACATAGTTTTCCTTTGTGGAAGTGACATTTCTCTCAGGCGGGAGTTAGCATGTAGTTGCTTAACAGGTATAGCACAATAAGTGCCTTGGTATTACACTTGCCCACATGCTCCTGCCTAAACATTTATCCTTTATACGTCAGTTGAAGTTGACTTCTGCAAATAAAGGGACTGTTTAGAGGCAAACTTCAAAGGATAATGCAACTGAGTTTGTAAGAGAATAAAAAGAATTCCTAAAACAAATCTTGCGGATAGTTGACAGCAGTAGGCGATAAAGAGCTTGTATCCAGTTGACAAGTGGCTTTCTCTCTGGATCACCGTTATGAATGCTTGGCGACAGTTCATCGACTTTAGGTCTCATTGTTAGGGAGTATATGACACTTTAAAGTGCAGAAAGGATGAAGTTAATGATTACGAAGTCATAGATGGGAAGACCGAATCTATTGTATTGCTTCCCGTATTCATCATAAAATTTTTCCCGGACGAGGTCGATGTTTTCACTCTTCGCTCCGACACAGTTGAAATCACACCTGGACTCGCTGTTTTCTGTGTCTGCGAATATGGCGAGAAAGATGACACTGATCAGGATCCAAAAAAACAGTCACATAGTGAAGTTTTTTGAAAGTTTTTGGTGCCAAATATCCTAACATCATTTCCATCGATACTCTTGGTGATTTGGTTGTTAAACTGATCATTCAAATGAACTGCTTATGTGATCAAAGAATATTTATGAGATACAGAACTTTAGCTCTTCGGAAAATTTAAACTGTCAAAAAGGCGATGGATTATGCATGATAGCGTTAACTTGTTTACATAATTATAAAAAAGATAACAATGAATTATAATCAAAACTGATAGGTAGGTGTTTTGTTTAAGGGAATACGCTTGACCACTTACTCCACTTACCCCCCTCCCTCCCAACCTTACCTTTCTCCTTCCCAGAGTGCTAATGTGGGTTATTTTGCAGCTTGAAGCCTGCTAAATTATAAGCCACTGAGTATCATAATTTGTTTCTGTGGTATATACTTCAAAAAAGATTTAAAATTTCTCTCTGAAGATGCCTTGAGGCACCAGGCTGTGGTGCAGGTCAAGGACTTCTATTTTAGATGCCAGCGAGAGACCTGATGAAAGTGCTAGGGGTCTTTACCACTCGCTTGGCTTTTAACGAGAAGTACTGAGACTCTGGACTCTACTCTCTTTTTATTCTTCCCTACTACAAGGTTTTGGGTCTCTTCTATCTCTACTGCTGCTGCTACTTTTCTTCTACTTTTAGCAAAGAGCCCATGCATTAAATGCAAAAATCAGACATGCTTAGGTTAGCTGACCGTGGGAGTTAATTGCAAGAGTGGCAAAACGTGTTCCAGTCTGAAGGGTCAGCTCCATGTTGATAAAATCGCACGCGAGACACAGCTCCGTGATGGTTAGTGTGCTGTGACTTGCACGCTCCAACAAGCGGTTGGCATTAGCGAGGACTGAAGAGGACTGGAAGGCTTCCATGTCGTGCGTTCTTAGCCTGGAATTGCAGTCTTCCAGCTCTTTCTTGTTCTTGGCTGGCCGCTTCTCCAGGTCCACGGTCTTCCTCCATCCCTTCAACTTTTTTAATGTGTCCCTCATCACCAGCAGCACGTCTCTCTGGAAGCTGGGAACCTGTCCTGGTCCTACACGCTCCAGGGTTACGTAGTTAGAAACATCTCAAACGATCCCAGATACGACCTGATAGTCCCATCCGAGAGTTTTTTTCGATCATGGGATCAGCCCAATCCATCCAAACTATGTAACCCTCGTCATTTGATAGGATGTCTATCTTGGAGCCTGCAGGGTTGAGGTCCTCCAGGAAGCTTCCTCACTGGGCCTGGCGTGTTGTCGACAGTGTCTGTTCTGCTTCCTACCACAATGGGGGGTACCAAGGTAGCGATAGAAGCTAGCCAACCATCTCTGCCTAGTCGTTGGATGGCTTGGTGCACTCGAAGTAAGCGGAAAAGTCCTCTTCTGGAAGGTAATCCTCATCTGAGTCTTCTCCACCACTGAGGCTCTCTTGCTTGAGACAACGACTGGCATGAGGCTCAGAAGCACTCACATTCCTGATAGTGGCAGGGTCAGAAGCTGTTCCTCGTACACTGGCCAAGGCATCGCAGTTGGTATGGGTGGTGGAAGATGTTGTTGTTGTTGTTGTACTTGTTAAGATGATGTTCTGCACCTCCTTAATGCCCTGGTTGGTGCGGGCAACTCTAAGGCTGGTCTTAAGGAGCTGACCGGGCTTCATCCAATGATAATGCGTCAACTGGCTCCTCAGGTAGTGGGTCACCTTTTGGCAACCCTCCTGAGGACACCACTTTAGTAGGAGGCCTCTACTTGGAAACCTGGCCAGGTCCCCACTGCTCCTTGGCATGGATGGCCACGCTTAAGAGCAGTTCCACATCCTCCACCTGGATGGTACCTGTCCTGGCATGGCTTCGGAGGGTTCCATCTTCCTTCTGGCACACTGGGCAAATGCATTTGGCATGATGCTGGCATTGCTAGTGTGCAATGTTGGGAGAGGTTTCTCCAGGGCACCACACGAGACCTCTTGGATGGTAAAAAAGTTTCCTCCACTGAGTCCCGCCGCTGCCTCTTTTGGATATCTATCTCCATGATGGGAGCCCTCTTCGATGTTGTTTTAGTCTCCTCCCCTGGTTCCTCACTGTGTGATGAGTCCTCTACTGGCAGATAGCTGGGGTCATCCTCTTCCTCCATGATGGCATTGGTAATTCTTGAGTGCCTACGGGCACTCCACTGCCTGATTGGAACCACTGTCTCCTCTAGCATGTCCTGCACCTCCTTCACCAGGTGACAGATGCTCTCACACACCTCGTCTGCACCAAAGGGTTAGCTAAAGTCTTCATGTTAAATGACTCAGTACCGAACCACTTCAGGTACAGCATGCTGCGAGAGCATATTAATATTTTTTGCAACATGTTAGTTGCCAACTTTTGAGGCTGCAACTGAAAGAGTTGCTGCCCTTGCAATGGTATGAGAGCAGCGTGGTCTCCAGCGGCACATTTTTCCAACTCTTCACTAAGGGAGGCTCAATTTTATCCACACCCAGAAAGGCGCACATCTCCACGTCGCCATCCCTGGCAGCCGCGATGCCCTCCAGCAAGCAATCCAACTGGCTGATGGTGTTAATATCGCCCAGGGACTGCCACCAGGTTCTGATGGCATTGAGGTGTTCTTCCTGGGCATTAAGAAGAAATCCTGCGCTTAAGTTGAACCGAGGGTGCTTTTTAAACTTAAAAGCGCAGGCAAATTGCACCATCTCGAAAAGGAGCTCATTGCACTGATCGAGGGTGTCCAGACCTAGCCTCCTTCTGCACATCGCAAGCGCCGTTGCCAAAATCTCTTCTAATCTCGGCCAACGGGATGGGAAATGTAGGAGTCGTGTACCACAGGCATGGCTTTTTAGTTTAGATCAGTAGCACAGTTCTGATGTACAAAGGCGTAACATTGGGGTAAAATTGAAAAATATTTTAATGAATCTATTTTTGTTAGAAATAAGTCAGAAAGGGAAGGAAATTAGTTCCTATCTTGAAATTAGGTCATCTTGATCAATTCGGACGCCTTTCAAGCTAATTTTCTATTACCCATGATGCAATGCGACCACGCCCTTTTTTTAAAAAAATGCATAAATACCATATTTTAAGGAAAGTTTCGGCAAAAAATGTAAATTTGAAGCTACTAAGAGCAAAAACAGTTAAAGGGATGCCAGAATTTGTTCATGTTCATCCAACGGAACTTGATAAATTGGTCTTGCTCTCCTTCGCTTTGACACAAGTGGTCCACAAATGTACCGCACAGTTCCTGGGAATACTCCTGCCACCTTATCATCTAGTTTGTATGTGCGATCAATAATGTTCTCCCTTAAAAAGAAATTTCCAAGAAGAACAGCTTCTCCTTTGGAATAAATGCTTCCACTATAAGGATCCTCAAAGTTTTCTTGAAGGGAAATGACTCCATTGCTAGTAACTTTAAGGAGGTAGTAATCATAGTGGCTATCATCTTCAGCTGCCACAGCCACAGTGCTTTCTTTCGTTGCCAGGTCGGCAACTTGAACTGAATGTTCAATGGTGCTTGCATCTTCAGTTGTCCTGGTCATGACACCTGAGGGCTCTCTTGACAGAACAATCTCCTTCCAGTTGCCCACCCATTCCTTATTTTCACAGCTGTCAAAATCCTCAACAATGCAACCATGGCAGTAACAAGACCTTTCTCTTGTGTAGACTTTTAGCTGTTCACTGCAAGTTCTTACAGAGTGTAGTTGGCGGATGCCTTTGACAGTGCAGAATCTTCCACCGTCCCTGTTACGTGCAACACTCAGCTCCCCAGTAGATGGCAAATAGAAAAAGATGCGCCGCTTTAACTGCACTGACTTCTGCCTAGCAGGAAATGAGGAAGCAGCTGGTTCAGAGAAGTTCTCTTTCAGAAAGTTACAAAGATCTTTTGCATTTGATAGTGTGGCTTTCCTGGAGAGAACTGCTGAGGTTGCCTTCTGTTTGACATGGGAGCCAGCTGCATCTTGTTCTCCCTTTGCATGGGAGGTGGCAAAGTAGTTTCGCTGGACTGTATATCCAAGAGTTGCCAGGGAACATGACAGGTCACCATAGCAGTGTCGGCTCTTGTACTGTCCTGCACATCCATCTGTGAATTCATGCATTTTCTTGATAGTGCAGTTTGATTCTTCTAAATGGTTTGAAATTAACTTCTGGATGTGAAGGACAGAGTCATGATCCTGGGTGACGTCATCGGAAATCACAAACAAATGCTCTTTACAAATTGCTGGTTCCTCTTCTGTGCTCTGGATGCCATCCACCTCAGCACTTGAATGCCTGTAAAGAATTGTGACATGAAGACTTACTTTGTTTACGTCAAAGTATTGGGACTGGATTTCATCTTGAAACCGACAGGCATAACCCTCGGAATAGTCGTGGATGCACACAGCTTGATCAAGAGGAAGGTTTTCAAGAAGAGAATCTAGCTGCTCCCTCTGCCATTTAGCAAGAAAGGAATGGTAAGGAAACTGTCCTAACAGCTGAATAAAATAATCAAACAGTTCCTTTGGTCCTGTGCACTTCTCGACAAGGGCTATTTTCTTCATGTCTTTTCCATCAGTGGTAAGTTTTCCAGTCGACACATAGTCATAACGCTTCCATTTCACTTCGTGATTGCCAACACCTTTCTCCTCTGGCAACAAAACCAAGTTGTGAACTCCACAGTCTTTGCACTCCCTTTTCAAGCATTTCAATTTATGATAGTCTTGATCTTCGGGTTTGGGACAAAGTGTTTGCGCAATAATATTTCCAACTGAGTTATACACTTCTGTAGCTGCTTGATTAGCTTCCCTGCTTTCATCAATCACTCTCTTCCTAAACTTCATGCAGTCTTTGAAGACAATTTGAAGTTCAACGTGCTGACGACACATGCAAGTCTGCCTATCTCGTTCCCTTGCCCCCCTAACAAAATAAGGCTTCAGGTTTTCAAATTTTCGCTGAGATATCTTTATCTCTGGATGCATTGACGCAAACTCTACGTAGGCTTCCGTTTGGGTTTTTTCAAGCACGTGTTTCGGATGTTCAACCCACGTTTTCACTCCAACGCGTTTTCTAATCAAGTCTTTCTTGTTTCCTGTCGGTCTACTTGCTACCATTTTCCAATAATCATAAACAAGCTCTTTGGTTTCTTCAGTGACTGCATCCCGCCTGGTTTTTCGTTTGGTTGCAAGCCAGCTTGACTCTTCACCTTTTAAGATCATTTCGCGTTTTTCAATTCCCGACTTGATGCTTCTTCTATCCAAGGCTATGAGCTTTGAAAGTGTCTTCTGGCTTCTACTCTTTTTAACATTTTGACCAAAAGAAAGTGATTTTGCCGCGACAAGTGCAGCTCTTCCTTTGTTTGACTTGTCATTTTTGACGGCTTTAAGGCCTTGGGTGAGATCGCTAGCAAGCGCTTTCAGTGCATTCACTTCTTTCTCCTCTTCTGGTGTTTTCATTAGTCCGCGTTTCTCGAGTACTTTCCTTGTACGTGGACTTTCTGATATAGCTGCCATTATTTCTGCTTTCTTCTCCGGTGTATCTGGGAGACTCTTCTTAGTTCGTCCAATGGCACGTTTCTTGGCCATCCTGTTTGGGAACGGCGTACCAGTAACGTCGATCGGTGTGGCTTCCGCTTGAACCTGTGCATTTTGGTCTTTCTTTTTTTGACGGTATCGCTTACTTCGTTCTCTAGCCATCTTTCTCTGTTCCTCAAGTTTCCCTTTATTTTTTGAACCTGTCTTTTGCTGGTTTCGTTCGCGCCGACGTTTCTTTGTGGCATCTTTGATAGGAACATTCCGCCGTTGTCCGCTCTTGGCTTCTCGACTTTTCTTTCTGGCTTCCACGACCTTTTCAATAATTTTCTCTCGGTTTTTCTCATAATGTGCTCTTCTTTTCTCTTGTCTTTCCTTCTTCTTTTGTTCTCGCCACATTTGAATCCTAGAAACTCCAGAATCCATAATCTTTGCATTCAATTTCACAGCCTTGTGCTTGCGAACAACACAGCCTTTTGTACTTACGTGTACTTGACTGCGTCCTTGAAACATGCGGCACGTGCTCAGGGGGTTTCCCGCTCATTTCTGACGAAATGCAATATTTTACTTCCTAATAAGGAAATCGAAAACAATGCTTGATTCTGTAGACTTTGGGACGATTTGGAAGCGAAGGAAGCCGTCAAAATGACTAGAGCGTCGCGCTTGTTTTTTCTCGAAATTCGATCACTTACCTTCCTCAGGATCAAACTTGTCGACCAAATGTTTCGAACAAAACTTATTGCTAATATTTTCGTCGGCTTTCAACGGATTCGATCAATTTTGGTAGCAAAATTTAGCTTGTTATTTGAGCATTTTGCGTATGTTAACATTTACACGCTCCAGTGCACTCTTCGTAAACAAGACGATTGGGAAATTCAATGACCAGAATTATCGCGCGGCAGATCACACCGCTTGCCAACTGTTTAGAACGCAGAAAAAAATTCATATCTCGACAACGCTTCAATAAAAACACAAAAAACGGAAGGAGAGCGAAAAGCAACTTATGAGCATTACATTTTGAGGTTAAATTGTTCTGTCACTCGGGAATTATGACTCGCACAATGAATTGAAAATGATCTGTCTCTACCAAGCTTTAAGCGTGATGCATTATATGTTGAACACTTTTGTTGATTTTAACAAAGATTTAGCCCCAATTGTCAGGATTTTGTTTGCCACTTCGCTTAAAAGGGAACCATTTTCATCACCTGTTAAGTTTTACGGCTATAGACGAAACTTACGCTGGCAAAAACAGAAAAACAGTGAATAGTGAAGCCCACGCGAGTTACGCGTGACGCCATGTTTTTGTCGCTAACTTTACAATTCGGCTCCGATTCAATTTTTTCAAAAAACCTTTATTCTACCTCTGTTTAGTCCAAAATCATCTTTAACATATGTGTAACTATTTTGGAAAGTCTCAAGCAGGTCCGATCATTGTGCGCCGAGAAATTCTTAAAAGATTCGAGCAAATCCGTGATTTTTCCATTTGCGCGTGACAAGCGTGCTACTGATCTTAAGATCCGCTATTGCCTTGAGGCACATGCTCTGGCGGAGAGTTGCAGTTTTGAAGAATGATTCCATGACGCCTAGCATAATATAGCACCAAAATATGAATGAAAGGCCTTGGGTCAAGGCAAAAGAACTACGAAAACAACACGTCGACACAAAAAGTGAGACAATAAAAAAGGTAAACCTAAAAAATACTCAAAATAGCAATCCTTTAAAATACTCTACAACATTCCTCCCTACCTAAAATCCTTAATGTTGAGATCGCCGAGATGCTTGTAGAACGACTGCAGATCGTGTAAGATGGCGTGATTGGTTTGTTCTTGCGACTCCGCCCATTTACCCCAGAAAGAATTCATGCACAACTTGTTCAATGCGTAGAGCGTGGCATTCTTTTCAGTCTTGACTCGAGTGGGATCGAGCAACACGCCTTCCGATTTTTCGTATTCCTTCACGTAGGCTTCCTTCTGGGCTGGGGTACGACAATCCGATGGCCACCCTGCTGCCTCTTGTTTACCCTTTTGAAACTGCTTTATGTAATCTTCAAAGAGATGCGACGACTTTTGGCTGTAGTGCCACACTTCGTAAATGGTTAATACCTTATATCCTTTCTTGATGGCTAACTTGATCTCTTTGGTGAACCACACCCCCCGTAAGCGCTCTCTCCTCCTTGTCGTGCTTGCAACTATTAAGGTCAAAGTTGCTTTCCACCGCCCATGTCCTACACAACACGAATAACGTTTTATAGTATTTGTCGACGCATTCGAATCGAAAGGGTAACACTGGGTGAAAGAGGTGCGGCGGGGGTAGTATGCACACGTGTGCCAGTCCAAAAAACTTTTCAAAGGTAAAGTCTGGAGGCGTCCACTTACGGTTGCGGAATATGATGGGGTGACCTTCTGGATACAAGCAGTACTTATTGACAGTTGGGACAACGACGTGAAGTCGTAATACCTGAGATGCTTGGAGCGTACGCGCACATCTGCATCCTTCACCATGTGTGTCGAAGTGGCTTCCATGGGAGTACAGGGTAGGGTACGCCACAACATTTGATTAGAATCGACGCGTCCTCCGTACAGGCCCTCTCTAGGATTTAGGGGATCTCTAATGAGAGCATTGACCTCGCCCCCGACCAAAAAGTCGTACATTTGACGCACACGAGTGTCGAACTGTAACTCTTGCCGCCACTCGCATTCCCACTTGCATACAAGCTTGTACCCGTTATCCTTGAGAACACCTTCTCTCTGTAGGGTGCGAGAATACAAAGTTCCAAACGTCTGACCCACGCGCAAACATTTAGCCTTGGGACTAAAACAGGTGGGACAGCCATGCCACATGCAGCCGTAAAATTCGTATATGGTGTGTGTCGATGGTAAGTAACCGTCGGCTTTGTAGCGCGTGTTGGGTATGGGTATGCGAAACTCGCCCTCGTTTTTGCCCACGTACGTAAATTTGGCAGCTGCATCTGGTTCCATGCACGCCTCGACGTACATCAGCCATGAGCGTGCTACTTTTGAAGCCACGTCTTTTTGGAGGTATCCCAAGGGTGGTACGAGACCAATGGTGTTAGGTTTTAAGTGTTAAAGATGCCACACTTTGTTGCAATAACTGGCAATGGTGAGGTTGCCTACGCCAGGCCACATGCCATTCATCTCGTGCATTGAGTTAGCAAACTCCATGAAGCACCTGTGCAACATGTACACGTCGTTGCGGCAGTACTCTTTGTTTTCACGAAAGACATCGTACCAGTTATCTGCATTAAGATAATAGTGAGGATCGTCCTCCTCGGGCTTCACAAAAGTGTCGTAATACCATGCGTCAAATTTCTCTTTGGTCGTGGCGTTCATGAAGCGAGTTTCAAAGTCATCTTTTAACGGTGGGCGGGGCATTATGTCAGACCATTGTTGCCAATTATTTAATCTGTACAGGAACCACCCCTTCTTCACCAAAGGCTGTCCAGTTACCGTGTCTACCGCCTTGTCTAATCTGAACATGGCTGGCATACGTGGCAACGACGTGGGTATGAATCGAAACGAATCGAAGAATGCAATGCGACCGCCAAACACCTCCATGCCAACGAGGGACATTCCATCAAAAGTACATTTAGGATCCTCTCTGCTATATTTATACAGTTCTTCGACTAATGGTACTCAGATTTTTCTTCACTCATTGCTGACCTTTCGGAACCCAAAACCTTGACCTCAACTCCGCCAGAGTCTCTCTTACGCCGCTGTGAAGCACTCTCTCGTGACATTCTTCTATTGTCTTGGTCGTGAAACCGTGATCTCTAGGCAAAATAATTGGCTCCTGTGCTTCCACCGCCAAATCGGAATTCGCTAATCTTCCCCCACATCTTAGAACCCCATTGGTCTCCTTAAGACCCAAGACGCCTTTTAAATTCGCATAGGTTTTTTGGCACTTCAGATCTAATTACGCCGCCTTCACCCATTCTTTTTCAGCGATAATCAACTCATCTCTCATTAACTCACCTTTTCTTTTTGCGCCACCAGGCTTCAAATTTTGAACGAAGCGTAATACCCATGCCATTACTC